CCTGGATAGCCCAGGCTAGCCTGATCTCATCAGATTTTTGAAGCTAAGCAGGGTTGGCCTTAGTCAGTATTTGGATGGGAGACCATCAAGGAATACCAGGGTTGCTACACAGAGGCAGACAATGGCAGACCACCCCTGAACATCTCTTGCCTTGAAAACCCTACTGAGTCACCATAAGTGGGGTGCGACTTGACGGCAAAAAGAAATACAGACAACCAGCTTGCAAACAGAAAAATATGAGCAGGGTCCAATGCAGCAGTAAGGTGATCATGGGGGGAATCAGCTTGGCTGAGATGGGAGATGGCCAAACACTCACAAAAGGCTGAGCAGCACACAAATGGGACTACAGTAGCAAAACAATGGTGCAACCATCAAGAGTTTCAGGGCGCTCCAGCAGCAGGTATCGCAATTACCCCTTAGCTCGTGTGCAGTTTCAGCATTAGAGTTGCTATGAGGGACTATATTATATGAGAGCCAGTTTGGTGTAGTGGTTAAGTGTGCGGACTCTAATCTGGGAGAACCGGGTTTGATTCCCCACTCCTCCACTTGCACCTGCTGATGTGACCTTGGGTCAGTCACAAGCTCTGGCACAGCTGTCCTTGAAAAAGAGCAGTTTGTGTCAGATTTCTCTCAGCCCCACCCACCTCACAGGGTGTCTGTTGTGGGGAGGGGAAGGGAAAGGAGACTGTAAACCGCTCTGAGACTCCAAGTGAAGGGCGGGGTATAAAGCCAATCTCTTCTTCTTCTTCTTCTTCCTGGGGATTTGAGGGGTGGAGCCTGGGGAGGGTGGGTTTTTTTATGATAGGTTGATGGTTAGCTGGGAAGGAGATGGGGTTGCCAACTCCACCCTCCAAACCAGCCATTTTGTCCTGGGTAACAATTGTTGCCAATCTCCAGGTGAGGGCTAGAGATCACTCAAAATTACAACTGCTCTTCAGGTAGCAGAGATCAGTTCCTCTGGAGAAAACAGTGGACTCTGTCATTATACCCTGCTGAGGTCGCCACAGCAAATTGACACTGTTTGCCCAAAGCCAGAGCACTCTCCCAGAGCCTTTTTCTAGATCTCGTTGTATTTATTTCCACAACGGGCCTTATTCCTAGTGATTTTATAAGCTTGGAAACTGTGGATGGTTCTGTCCTGTGGTCTACAGTGGTGAGTAATACCCTGTGATGAAAGAACGGGAAAGTTTCTGTAGGCATTTCCTCAATGGGCCTTTATTGTTAGCAGATGGTTCTCCACAAGACTTGAGCGCCTCTCTTAGCTGGCCAAGAAAGAAGCAGGCAGAAATCTGCTGTGAGTTGGATGAAGCACTTGGGGGTGATCTCTCTGTCTTTGTCTTTCAAACTGCCTTTGTATTCCGTTTTAGTAACTGGTTGCTAATGAATTTTTCCTGTCATTTCACATAGACCCATTTTAGTACCTGGCTGCTAGTGGAATTTATTTTTTGTTGTTATATATTTTTTATTTTAATTTTATATAGGGTACAGGGGAAAAGGGGGGTATTGGTGGAAAAGAAAAATAAGCATAAGGCACTTTTTTTACAAATATTAAAGACAATATGTGAATGAATTAACAAGGTAAATAATTATAATATTATAACATTACCAATAACACTATTTCCATAAGATGTATATCCGCTATTTTCAATCTGAAAAGAACTATTTTATATAAATTTAAAATAGCCGGAAAACCATTTAAAATTATTTAAGTTGAACAGTATAGCACTTAACCATTATAGCACTTCAGTGTTATAAAGCCACCACTGAGATGCCTTGACTTCACTGAGTCAATGGAGTCAAGGCATCTCAATGGTGCCGCTAGAGTACTGAAGTGCTACATTGGTATAGCATTATAGTGCTCAACTTAGAATGCTTAAAAAAAATCTGAGGAAGATCACATGGCAAAAAAGGGCAGGGGGGAAAGTGGCACTGTTTGAAATGAGCACTTCAGAGATGGCTCACTAATGGAAGGAAATTTGCTGTATGAAACCCCTGTCCCTATATCACTTTATTCTAAATCAGGCCAACAACGAATAATATCCAGTTTAGAACAGAAATGTGAAAAGGGCCTCTCTCTCTGTGCTGCCCTGTAAAATACCTCTTTGCCTCCATCTATACGCTACTCGTAAATAATGCAAATACTACAAAAATGTCTTAAGCCTCCTATTCTGTCTCCTCCAAAAGAAATGAACCCTGATAAGTTCTGCCCCTGGAACTTCTCACTACTGGGGGAAGTGGAAGGCAAGTAATAATATTTATAGGACTGAATCTACACTCCAAATGTTTGGTAGAGGAGGGTACAAGCACCTCCACTCCATTATGCTCATGACAACATAGCTAAGATTTGGTGCTTTTCCTAGAGGTCCATGTAATGTAGGTGGTCCGAATCAGCCAAACAGAGTGAGTGTAACTGTATTGATTGCTGATGTTCATCATATGGCCTCAGCCAGACCTCCATCTTAGAACAGGCCAGAAAAAGGAACAACCAATTCCCCCCCACCCCCACTCAGACATTCCCCGTTGTAACCCCCAACAATGACTAAGTAGGCCAATAGGTGACCGCAGCAACTGAACATATATTATAGTCCATATACGAGATGGCCTACTATGTGTTATCTCCCCCATCTCCCTTAATGGCATGTCCCTTTTTCTTATGAAATCAGATAGTGTAATTAAAACGAAAAGCGAGTTATGCGAGTAGAAATCCCTCACCAGTAGAGTGACAGCAGAGTTAGCTATCAACTAGAGAGAAGGGTCAATGCTTCTTATTGTTGAGAACTAAACAGAAATACTCATAATCAGATTATCACCATCTATTTTAAAATATGTGGCTGTTATTTGACCCTTAAATCAGGCATGGATTTTTTAAAAACCACCCCAAATCATTTTGTGCTGCAGTTCTGCTTAGGACCAATAGAGAGCAGCACATGTAGCAAAGGATGCTTTCTTGTTAAATCTGCAGGACATTTACTCAAAACTCTGACCTAGACCCACATAAACCTTAATTGGTTATGCGCTGCTTAAATATTTGCAGAATGGAAAGTCCTTGTGTTACGTATGAAATGTGGGCTTAAATTTCATATTAGATCAGTGTTTGTTTATGTTATGCTGATAGCATTACCTACCCAGACTTAAAGTTGCCAACTTTGGCTTAGGACATTTCTGGAGATTTGGGGGAGGTACCTGGGGAGAGCATTTTGCAGAGGGGTTGGAGCTCAACAGGGATGTGATGCCATGCAGTCCACCCTCTGAAGCTGCCGTTTTCTCTGGGGAAGCTGATCTATGTAGTCTGAAGATCATTTGTAATCCTGGGAGAACCCCAGGCCCACCTGGAGGTTGGCAACCTTGCCTAGAACTATGTGTGAGGTTAAAATGAACAACATTTTAAGGACTCGCAGTTATGCAGAGGGCACCATGCTATCTTGTGTAGGATCTATGCCAATGAACAAAGGTCAGGAGTGAGGTTTGCTCCCTAGCACCGCACACTCATTAGTCACACACACTTTGAATGTCTACAGTGTCTGAAAATATGTTTGTACTTTTAGGTACCCTTCTGAGGTAGCCTTTTTAATAGGCAAGGCTTTTTTTTAACAACCTATGTGTGAGAACCTGATAGTTCCCCGTCTGCTATAAAGGGGTTTGGCAAAGAGACCCAGGGGACATTCCATGGGGTTTTCCATCATAACTTCTCATACATTTTAAAAAATTGTATTTATTTATTAGAAGACTTACACCCTGCCTTTCCTGTTGTCACATGGTAGCTTAACAGTAATAATTAAAACTTTTTAAATTATCCATTAAGTATCTTTGAGTATTTGTTATAACAAAAATAAAATCCCCAGAAACAACTCCCTGACAATAGTTGTGAAATGAGTAGTACTTGCTCCTCAGCACAGGGACAATGTGTTCCCCACCTCTGGAAGATTGTTACAGTGCACACACACCCAGTAAACGAAAACAGTGGAGATGATTTTCAGTGAAGTAGCACGGCAACACTAGCTCATCACATCCCTCAAATTCTATTGAAAACTGTGTATCATTTAAAAAGTATTCATCAAGAATGAGCTAGGGTACAATAGGCATCCCTATGGCCTGCTGCTCTAACAGAAAAAATGGGCGATTTGTGAAAGGGCAATGCAATCATGACGGGGGGGGGGAAACATACCACATGTGTGACACGGCAAGAACGGTGTACCTGTGAACATCTGTTCATAGGACAAAGGAGGAAAGGTTATCAGTCCTAAAGGTAATAGAGAATATTCATTTTGGTGTTTTATAAGTAGTTCTCTTCAGAGACAAAGATGAGGATAAGGAGATTAGATTTATACCCCACCCTTCACTCAGAGTCTCAGAGCGGCTTACAAACTCCTTTCTCTTCCCCTCCCCACAACAGATACCCTGTGAGATAGGTGGGGTTGAGAGAGTTCTGACAGAAACTGCTCTTTCAAGAACAGCTCTTATCAGAACTATGGCTTGCCCAAGGTCATCCAGCCAGGTGCAAGTGGAAGACTGGGGAATCAAACCCGGATCTCCCAGATTAGAGTCCGTACACTTAACCAGTACACCAAACTGGCTCTCGATTAGGCCTGGTTTAAAATTATACCCTAGTTTTTCCTTCTCTCAAAGCCATCTTTCCATCTTGACACCTTGGTGCCCAGTTCCCTTCCGCACACGAGGCAGCTTTCTACAGTTCCTGGTGGTTTCTTTCCTCTTTTCCCCTGCCTTCTTGTTGCTCTGTGTCATCCCAGAACTTGCATCTCCCTCCACCACCACTCCACCAAGTACTGTATGTGAGGGAAATCCTGGTCAAGTTTTAGAAATAAAACATTAAACATTACAAAATATACTTTATTTAAAACAGTGGAGCAGTCTTGCCTCCCTTCCTCTCATACCAGTGGCAGAGCACCTAGTAAGCCTTTTAATAGAAAACTACATTTCTATATTATATGAGCTTCTGTGATGAGTGTTCCAGTGCAAACAATTGAATATTATTTAATTAAAACATTTATAGGCCTGTCTTTCTCCCAGACAATGGGAAGAATTGCTCTTGATACCAAATCTTCCCTTTCCCATTTATTCTGGATTCATAAACACATTATGCAGCTGGCTCCGGCACAGCCCAGCTTCTGCACAAAGGCCCAGTCCTAGTCATTATGCTCCTTATTCAGAACAAGGTCAAGTCAACACAGGAATACCCCTAACGCTTCCATAGCTGTGACCCACATGAGGCCTTGCCTTTCTTTCTACCGAGTCTGCAAGCATTTCCCAGTCCAAGCAGTTAGCCTCAGTGCTGGAAACATGGGGAGCTGATGTGGGTCTGGTGGAAGGAGAGCGGGGTATAAAGCACCTCTGCGGGCACTGGCGGTTGTGTATGCAGGACAGAGCAGTGAGTCTCATGGGAAGTCAGCATTGCAGAGAAATGCTTCAGTTCCTCTGTCAGTTGTTTGATCTCCCGGCGCAGAGCAGCATTCTGCCTCTCCAAATCTTCGCTCTCCTTTATAGAAAAAAGAAGAAGAAGATGATGATGATCAATAGGTAGTTAGAGACTGTAGAGCAACTGTAGGGGGAGAATGTGGGGGAATGGATGGAAATACAATCAAGACAAGTTTGGATTAGTCTCTCTATTCCTTTTATTACAAAAATATAGGAAATGTGGAGAGTTTTATCTTGCTAAGGTCACCCAGCGAGCTTCCATGGCAGAGTAGGGATTCAAACCTGAGACTTCCAGATTTTAGTTCAACACTATAACCACCATACAAGGTTCTGCCCTCCATTTTACAACAGTGTTTATGAGGCGGCTCAAGTGGTTAAGACGTTGAACTGCAGGCTGTAGAAGGTCGGTATTTCAGCAGTTCGAGACCCGAGTGTGCCGCATGATGGAGTGAGCTCCCGTCTCTAGTTCCAGCTCCTGCCAACCTAGCAGGTCGAAAGCAAGAAATTGCAAGTAGATAAATAGGTACCACTTCAGTGGGAAGGTAATAGCGTTCCGTGTGCCTTGGTGTTTAGTCATGCCGGCCACATGACCAAAGAAACGTCTTCGGACAGCGCTGGCTCTTCGGCTTTGAAACGGAGATGAGCACCGCAACCCTAGAGTCAGATTCGACTGGCTTTCGAGCAAGGGAACCTTTACCTTTAAGAACTGGCCTAAAGTCACTTAGTGAGCTTCATAACTCAGTAGGGGTTGGAACCTGCAACAAATAGCAATGTGATAAATGACATCTGAAAATATATAAAATGAAGTTTAAAAAAAGAAATGTGCCACTGACCCCCCAAACCTTTCCCTCGGTCACTGTTAGGGGGTAGAACTACTTATAAAACACCAAAATGAACTTTCTTCTCACAGCAGCTCCACATGGCCTTCATTGCAGAAATCATATCCTGAGATTACTAAGGTGGTTCAAGACTGAGCACTGTTGGGTAAAAGGAGCAATTTCATTGAACACAGTCACCTCTCAGGCAAGTTTATTAGGGCCAGTTCACGTGTCACAAAATCCTTGCATCTTCCACATGGATGATGCGGGTTCTGTCAAACAGATATTCTCTTGGAATTCCATGCTTGGACTTAATTCCAAGGTGTGTGGGGCCTAATTTGGATCAGGACCACAGTACACAGGGGGAGGAATCTTGAGCCTTCTCCCACCCCGTGCCATTTCCATGACCTGAAGTGGCCCTAAGGAGCCACTATTTGCCCCATGTTGTAAATGGATGGTTACCCATAATTTTTGCAGCTACCAATAGTGCCTCTCTGGGTAATTTCAGGTCAGGAAGACATCACAGGCCTGGGCGGGGGAGTCTGTGAACCCAATCTGAATCTAGGAATCACATCTATTGACCTGACTGGATACAAGGACATAGTAACGTATGATCATCCTTCAGTCACAATAATGGGCCTAACCCTTGGCATGCTAGCTTCACTGGCCAGCAAAGGACGATCCCCGCCTAGATTATCATTGCTTTCTTTCCTATAGAAGCACAAGGCCTGTCAGACATCAAGACTTCACTTCTGTCTGCCTTCAGCTCACCTACATCTAATGGGGGTTCAGATCTTCTCTAGGGTTGCCAGGTGCCCCCTGGCCACCAGCGGGCAGTGAGGGAGTAGGGTTGCCAGATCCAGGCTGAGAAACTCCTGGAGATTTGGGGATGGAGCCTGGGGAGGACAGGGACCTCATTGGGGTACAATGCCATAGAGTCCATCCTCCAAAGCATCCATTTTGTCCAGAGAAACTGATCTCTGTAGTCTGGAGATGAGATGTAATTCCAGGGGGTCCCCAGGTTTCATCTGGAGGCTGACATCCCTAAAATCTCAGACTAGGGTTGCCAACCTCCAGGTGGTAGCTGGACATCTCCTGAGATTACAAATGATCTCTAAGGAACAAAGATCAGTGCACCTGGAGAAAATGGCCACTTTGGAAGGCTATGGCATTATACCCAGGGGTCATTTGCTGCAGGAGCGCACAGGAGTGGAGCTCCGGTAGTAAAGAGCCCAAGGGGCAGGCACATGCAACAAACCCCACCCCCTACTCCCAGCAGCCCTCAGTCAGAGCAAGAAGCAGCCAGGTAAATTGCAGAGCCCCCCCCCCAGTCCAAAAGAGTCCAGTGTCACCTTTAAGATCAAGTTTTATTCAGGTATAAGCTCTCTCTCCTCTGCAAGGACAGATCAGCATGTCCCCCCCCCCCCCAGATATCGCAAATCACACAAGTCGCCAGGTGGCACTGTGAGTGTTGCCTTCTGACACACTTCCGATGATGTCTGGGGTGTGTGGCATATGCACATAAGTTATGCTAATGAGTTATGCTAATGAGCTCCTGCACCTCTTTTTCTACGAAATGACCCCTGATTATACCCCTCTGAAGTCCATCTCCTCCCCAAACTCTGTGCCTCAATTCTTAATCTGTATTATGAGGATAAGAATACCAGCTCTCTTTACAGGATCATTGCAGACATCTCAATGGTAATACATGTGAAGCACTTCAAACATTTAGGACATATTTTCACTGCAAAGATATTTGTTTTCCACCAGTTTAGCTACCCCCACCCCCAAGTATGGAAATCTATGAAAAACATACTTTGTTAAGGCAGCTGAGAACTTTCTCTTTCTAGTTCTGTAATTATTTTAAGACTTACTTTAATTTAGAAATGGCGGTCACCAGTGTTCCCTCTAATCTGAGTTAGTGTGAGCTAGCTCAGTTTTTTAGCCTCCGGCTCACACGTTTTTGTCTTGGCTCAGGAAGGATGGCTCCAGTGCACACTAATTTATGCAGTAGCCAAATCGCTCACTCACAAATTTAATGCCAGTAGCTGACAAAGTAGATTTTTTGCTCACAAGACTCCACAGCTTAGAGGGAGCATTGGCAGCCAGCCAGTGTCCCCTCTAAGATGAGTTATTCTGAGCTAGCTCACAGTTTTTTAGCCTCCAGCTCACACATTTTTGTCTTAGCTCAGGAAGGATGGCTCCAGAGCAAACTAATTTATGCAGTAGCCAAATTGTTCCTCACAGCTTTAATGCCAGTAGCTCACAAAGTAGATTTTTTGCTCACAAGTCTCCACAGCTTAGAGGGAGCATTGCTTCCAAGGTGTTTCCCCCCCCTCTTACTGGGGAAAATATGAGTAAAAGAAATGGAAGTGTTTTTGCGAATGGCACTAGGGAAGGGTTAAATCCCCCTCCACAAACACAAAAAGATGGATTTCCCTTGGAAATCATACCTTCCGCAGCTGCAATCTGTTAAAAGAAAAAAATGTTTTCAAATAATCACAGAAGTACATGTAATGCACAGTTCTGCCCTCAGGTATCCTTAGGATCCTCTACCAGAACTACATTTCCCAAGATTCCCTGGAGAGAGGGAATGAATGACTATTTAAAACATTAAGTCTTCAGCATAGCTATGCCCTAAGAAAAGGACAGGTAAAGAAAAACAACAAGGCTGATAGCAGAGGCAACATAATGTTCTATTTTAAAAACATTTTCCATAGAAGCTCATTTATTCTATCCCATGGCTGCTAAAAAAAGGGGGGGGGAGAGAAGGGGAGGGCATGGTTCCTAATCCAGTTTGCCATAATCCAAGCAGCAGCTTTATGAAACAGCCAGTATTTTTACCACATCCCCTGAGTGCAATGTTGGAGGAGTGGTGCTAAAATATGTGAAGTGGAAAAGGGTCTGTGTGGGCGGGGGGGGTCATAGCGTGTGTCTAGCTACTCTGTAAAATTTCCAAACGGCTGACGTTTTTCCTGTAAACTCACATTCTGGGCAAACCCAGGCAGGGAAGCAAGCCTTGCGCTGATAGCAGTTGACATTTTCAGCCCTCAGCCACACTTATCTCCCCAGCCAGCAACTTATGAGAAATGACAGTAGCATATTCTCCACCCTAGGTTCCCGCTGTCTCGCCAAACTCTGTCGTGCACACATATTTGCTCAACTCAGGCCACATACATCCTGACCCGAGAGAACTCAGGCCTGGCTGGGGGGGGGGGTCAATAACTGCCATCTAGACCGAGAAAAACCACCTGCCACAGGAAACCTGTCACTGCACTGGAAGGAAAGTCTCGCTTGTTTCTTTCAGCAGCTGGGGAAAGCAGCAACACAGTGGGGAATTCATCAGGCTTGTGGGTTCAAAGTATAGAAAGCAAGGCAATATTATATTCTTCATTATCTTAATGCAAACTCCATCTTCGATTAATTTAACTGTAGGGCTAAACTAGGCATGACATTCTTCCACATTTCCACTTTTTTAGGGGAACCCAGACCTACCACTCATATTCTTACAATCAGGCAGCAGCTGTTGGGAACTAAGTTCCCAAGCACTATAAAGGACTGGTTTGGATCAGTATTGTGGTGTGTGGAGAGAAGAGCCCTCCATGTTCCCCTGTTCTGTTTCTCCACTCAAAATGGCCCTGGCAGAGCAAGGGCAAACAGTGTCCCACAGGACTGTTTTATGTCAGGAAAACTGCATTGGGGGGGGGGAGCCCTTTCTCCCGCCACATCATGGTCCTGATTCAAATGGGGTCCTGCAGTCCTTAGGAAATTAGTTCTAGCAGATGCCATCAGACTGTAACAGGGGGACTCAGACTCTACTTGGCTAGTTTGGCTGGGCCCTTAGTTTAGCTAATGTCAGAAGAGTTCTGTAGCAACAAAAGACAACATACTGGAGGCGCTGTGGGGTGCTTAATAGTTCACTGAGGTCTTTTGGGGAGTCCCAGGGTTCATTATAGTCCATGATGAGTAGAAGCTGGGAACAAGCATCACAACTTTGCTACCCAGTCGTAAGACAGCACCAAGAGAACCCAAAAGCAGACTGATAATCAGGACAAAAAAATCAGAAGGGATAGGTTTCTGTTATATAGGCCTGATAGTGCCAATATTCAAGGCCATGCTTCAGAGAAGGGCAGAAATCCCTGGAAAGCAGGAAAAGGTCAGAGGCCTTAATCTGCTAATCTTTTGGGCCCTATGATGGCCCAGTTAAACTCCACATCTTTGAACAGACACTGTGTAGTTTATCATCAGAAACTGTACAAGTAGGGATAAACACTTAAAAAGTATCAATATCAAGAGAAAATTTTTGGTCAGAGCTGTTTGTCCAAATGGACTTTTCCAACAACAGACCTCCTCCTTCTATCTCCAGGAGCATTGAGGGGGCACAGACATCTTGAAAGTCACTTCATGTTTTGAAACAAGAATTGGCATGACACTCTAGGATTTTTAAAACCTCGATGGTTTTACCATAGAGATTATTGAAATTCCTAGAGTACCATGACATCGCTTCCTTTTGCAAAACAGGAAGTGATTTCCAGAGGCTCTTTCCCCCCATGATCATTGAGCAAAGGCAGGGGATAGAGATTATCACTGGGAGCCCCCCCCATTACCAGGTAAGTGGCAACCCTACTTCCAGATGGCCCACCTATGTTTGGCCTTGCAGTGTATTAGAGAAGTGTGGGCTGCTGGGCTTTAGATAATATTTTCAGTTACCATTTCAACAGCTACAGGCAACCAGATTGCAAAGGACCGTATCCCATAAATAGGGTGCCGTCCAAACTGTTTTCATGCAGGAGTACCCTTCCTTTAGGGTTGCCAGGCTGTCCGAGAAACAAAAATTGGGGCAGGGACTTCAAAACTGCCATTGGTGATGTTGTGGCATCACTTCTGATTTCAGAACTTGAAGTAATATCATGGTGTCACTTGTTGCTGTAAGAATTCTCCAACTCTCTTATCATTTTTAATGACAGAGATTTACTACATTCCTCGTGTCATGCATTACAAAATTCCTAGAGTATCATGCAATGCCTAGTGTTGTGCATGATGTCACTTCCTGTTCTGAAAGTGAAAGTGACATCATGGTGTCACCAATGCTGTGTGTTTTCACCCATGTTGTTTCCATCTCTCCACAAAGAAACAGCAGGTGCATGGCAGGCCCATAGCCAGGATTGTGTAGCTTGTGGGGCAAATTTTCTTTTCTGGTGGGGCTGGAGTTCTCAGTGCAGAAAGAAAAGCCAGAATTCTGAGGATTATGACTCAGCTACTCTTTTCTCTCTTGAGTCTTCTCAAGGTGTCTATTCTACATAGGTGTTCTTATGCTAGCAGTCACCCTTAGCCTATTAGCCATTTAGCCAGAAGAAAGCTGTCAACCACTTTAGATTACAGTTCTCAGCTGCTGCAAGTTAATCACTTCTGCCAACCTAAGCAACAGTTCTAATAGCAAACCTGTAGGTGGGGGTGATGACTTCTATAGCCAAGAAAGCTAACAGGCAGAAAAACTCTCTTAAAGGAGACCAGTTTCTTCACACAGAGTTAGAAGGGATCCTAGAGATCACCTACTCCAACCCCCTTGCTCAGTCCAGGAATTAGTCAACTACAGCACCCCATTCTGCTTAAAAGAGTGCACACCTTTTAAAAATGTTTAAAAATGATTGGAAAAAGCATTTACAGGAGAAATTCTTGTGGGGCAGTGCCTTTAAGCCCCCAAAAGCCCCATAGCTACAGGCCTGGTGCATGGACTTTTGGGTGGGATGTTGAGAAGTCCACATTTGAAGTCATCATAATGTGCTGCTGATTGCTGAGAAAGCATAAACTCCGCAGGACACAAGTGCACATCTGCACCTCTGACTAACCAGGAGAACAGTCTCATGACTAGGCTTACCAACTGCAACTTGGGAAATTCCTGGTGATTTGGGGGCAGAGATGTTTGGGGCAGGAGGGAGCTCAGCAGGGATGTGATTCCACGCAGTCCACCCTCCAAATTTGCCAGGTCCTGTAGGGGAAGTAATCTTTATAGTCAGGACATCAGTTGTAATTCTGGGAGAACCCCAGGCCCCACTTGGAGGTTGACAAGACAACCTAACTCATGACTGATAAGCAAGGCATATTGTTTTGGGATACTGGAAGATGCTAAGGGAAAGGGACTTTCTGTCCCCTGGGTGTCAAAGTAAACAATAAATGAGGGGGGAAATACATGTCCAGACCTCTTTCTCCTTCCCCAGAGGATGGGAAAGACCTGCTAACAACCCTGATCAAGGGAAAGATCTAAAGACCATGGATGAGAGCAGGTGTTTTCAGTTTGGGGCCCACTGATTACCTGGACATTGTCCTGACGTCTCCTAATGCCTTCAGAGGCCTACTTCTTGGACAATATGGGGTCCATCCTTTTATCAGCTTCACCAATTTTTAGGTTTTTCCCCCTCTTTTTCTGTGGCCTTTTTCTCTCCTCGTGGAGTGATCTTACCTTTTCAGTCCTTTTTCTTTTAAGAGACAAGGAATTCCAGGTCTGGAAGGGTCTGTTTTGTATTTCCATGTCCTAAGCTTGCCTTTCCACCCCCTCCTCCTAGTCTGAGGGCTGAGAAACCCACGTAGTCCGTGAGGTTGCTTTCTCTTCAAACCTCCTGAATCCTTGCATCAGTAGCTATGGAATTGCCTTTGCTTTGGTACTCAGGGCAGAATGGTGGTAAGGAGGCAATTTGTATTTTTAATATTCAAAATTGCTAATATACATGTTTGCTGTCATATTTGTGACCTTCTGTCTCAAGTGTATTTCCATTGCATAGTGGTTTATGGTTAATCTCTGTACGACGGAGTGTGTTCTCTTCTGGGAATTTGTTTGGAATTGTACTGCAGACTAGGGTTGCTGACCTCTAGGTGGGGCCCCGAGATCTCCCAAAATTGCAACTGATGCCCAGACCACAGAGATCAGATCTCTTGGAGAATGTTGGAGGGTGGATACTATGGCATTATACCATTCTGAGGTCCTTCCCTTCCCCAAACTCTGCCCCTCACCAGGCTCCACCCTTAGATCTCCAGGAATTTCCCAAACTGGATTTGGCAACCATACCATAGATTCATGTCTTATTTGCTTATGCACTACCTGTTTATGCATCCCACATTATTTGCTGTAACCTCTCTTCTTTCTATTGTTTGTATATCCAAGTTTTATACTGTTCATTTTTGTGTCATACAGGTTGCATCTGTGCATTGTGACACAGAGCCTTCTAATAACAATTTAATTTGTATCAGTAGCACTTTAGAGTCTGTGTCTCCTATTGGCAGTTGTGTGCCCGATCAGGGTGACAGGAACCAGTAGCAGCAGAGGCCTAATTAACAAGAGGGAAGGGAGCAGAAAATGATTTTGCAGGTATGTAACTGACAGGAACGTTTTCTAACCAACAGCTATAGAAGTTGACGCTGAAGAGGATTGCACTGATGGGTATGTATTTACACATTGTTGGCTAGCTTGTAGAAAAGAGCAAGAGTTGAGTAGCACCTTAAAGACTAACAACATTTGTGGTAGGGTATGAGCTTTCGTGAGTCACTGCTCATTTCAGACATCTTTCTTCAGATAGCTTTCATGAGTCACAGCTCACTTCTTCAGATATCTTTCTTCAGATAGCTTTCGTGAGTCACAGCTTCAGGTATCTGAAGGAGCAGTGACTCACAAAAGCTCAAACCCTATCACAAATCTTGTTCGTTACAGCAACTAATAACTTAAATCACTTTAAAAAACCAGAAAAAAACTGACCGGATTCAAACAAATACCAGTGAGAAGCTAAACCCATTCCCAGACTCTACCACTTCAGACTGCAGATTGGGGGAATCACACAGCTGAATATTTTCCCATGAAGGAAAGGTTTCCTAGACATAGAAATCTATGTATCCATTTTTATCCAACCTTTCCTCCAGTTCAGGATGGCAATCCTTGTTCCCCCATTTGATTTCACAACCACCCCGTGAAGTAGGTTATGCTGATAGAAACTAACTGGCCCAAGGTTATCCAGTGAGATAGTGCGACACTAACTACTACACAATACTGGCTGTAAGGGAACCATATCAGGGAAAAGGCTAAGCTGCAGCTCTTCTGCCTGATGTTTAGTTTTTTGATATGGCAGATGGCTCAAGGAAGCATGAATAAACTGAACTGTGAGCAATCTGAAGGGAAAGAAGGAACATTCCTTCAACACAATCATGTGCTCCTCCAAGCTGCAATTTGAAGTAATACTACTGATACATTTTTGCAACCACATATGTTGTTTGTGACAAATTAGGCTTATTACAGGAATCTGAGTAGCTAGATGATGGAAGCTCTTACCACATGCAGAGTATCTGCTTTCTGTGTCTGTCTTTGCCGGCTCTTCTGGGCTGCAATGCGATTCTTTTCCCTTCTTTGCACTTTTCTCATGTCATCAGAAGATTCCTGAAGAAAGCACAAAAAACAAACATGAGAGTCGACACCTTTGTGCTTGCTGCTAAGGATCCAACGTAGAAGGCAAATGGAGGGATAGAAGGTCAAACTTTCTGTCTTGTTCATGTCAGACTATATGTAAAATTGATGGAGGAATTCTCCTTCTGTTAATGTTAAGGAAGAAACCTACCGGAGCACCAAAAGCACCCAGAGGAGCTGCAAGGCAATTTTATACTCTAAACTTAATAGTATTTAGGGCCCTTGTGAATCTGCAAGAAAGACAGACTCAAAATGAAGTAAATAAATAGAGATGGTAATGTCAAAGGTACAGCCGGGGTTGGGGTTGCTGAACCAGAATGTCTGTCCTTGACCGCACCCCTGAATACATCTGTCAATAGGAGGGTTTGTTCTGCATTCAGTTAACAAAGAGCATTGGTGCAGATGTGGGAGTCCAAGATTCCAATCCGAACACATCCATGAAATCCAGTAACCTTTGCATCTACTTTTCTAAACCATTTTCAGTTAAAGTAATTCCATAGCCTCCACTGATACCACTCCTGTCATTTGTTTTTCCTTTAAATATACACCTTCATGTACTTTCTGTACATTCCATACTAGTTTAAGCACATTCCCAATCGTTCCTACCAAGAGGAATAATACATCTCTATTTCTGATTTAAAACTTGCCATGTCTATCAAGGGAATACCTGTCTCTTAGGGAAAACTTTAATCTCTCCTTAGAAAAGCAGTTCTTGCTCTCTTCCAAAAGCTCTTCTCTCCAAGGCATGTCCATATCCCCCAAGGTTAATGAATGTCTTCCCACCAAATGAGGGTTTGACCAGTGCCGAGAAGGTGGGAGCTGTAATACCACATATATTGTTATTTTACTATCACATTTTAGAATACCATTTTTATGCTTTTCTGCAGCAGCAACTGCATGCCATCCAAGTCTGTTTCTGCGGCTTCATATTTCTTTTTGGAGTTTATTCTTGAATCTCTTCCTAGAAAACGCTGCTGTTCCAGTCCTGAAAAAGCCAGAGTGCAGGGAATGTTCGTCTTCCCTGCCCATCAATGCTAGTTCTCTTTCAAGGAACTTCTTTGGCATGGAGGAAGATCTCAGGAGTCTCGCCACACAGATAAGAAAAATGGTGGAGTGCATCCAGCCATGCTGCTCTGCAAAGATCAAAACCTTCTTCCAGCCTAAAAGAAGCTTCCTCCAAGTCCTTTAAGTTGGAAGAATTAGCTTCTGAGGCTGGAGGAGGGCTTCAGTCGTCACAAAGCATAATGGCAGGAACCACCCTGGTATGAAGCAGAGTTTCCATCTCTTATGTCTGACAAGGTTCCTGTGCCTTTAGCAGGCAGAAGTAAGTCAGGTGGAGACGTTCACCCCATCACTATAGTTGCATGCTGTGGAATGCTTCATCAGTTGAATTTCTACATGCCGTGCTGTTGTTCAAGTGCATAGGAGTCCTGACAGGAAAAAGTGGCAACCCAAAAAAGAACGGAGAAGCAAATCCCCAAATCATACCTGTTTGCTGGAGGAAGATGAGTGGCTGAAACTGCTGGAGTCGCTGCTGTCAGAGCTATGGGGCATGGCTCACAGCTCCCCCTGCCTGTGGACCCCCTACAGACCTACTTCCTTTGGGTCCCTAGTGGTTTTCTTGTCCTTTGCCTCTGGCTTTGCCTCTTTCCTCAGTTCTGCCTCTTGTATCGCGATCACTTTCTCTGCTGCTTTCCTGAGGACTCTGCCTGTATTCCTCTCCTTCTAGAGTCTGTGCCTCACACTGCTGTTATCAGCCTTTCTTGAGGTCTGGGGTGCTGTGGTTTCTCGGAAGCTGTGAGGTACTCAACTGGAAGTCACATGGGCGGAAACTCTGAAGAAGAAAAGTTACAATGAGAGAAAAAAAATCACCTCTGGGAAAATCAAAATAGTCTGTAAAAAAACCCGAGCAACTTCAGGCAGTTAGTGAAACAGTTTCAGCCATAACAGACTCAGTATAAAGTGGGGAATTCACATGTTCAGAGAGGACAAAAACAGTTCTGTTCAGATATAGTTTGTTCAGTCGGAGCAATAAAATCTACCTTCAGCCCTCCAAGATTGCAAAATACAACGTTCAGTATTTTCAGTACAAAAGCAAATGATTGTATCCACTACACTTTCTCTTTACATTTGCAGCCACAAAAGCAAAATGTTGCTGCTTCCATTACAGTCCTCTCCTTGGCTGCCAAGCAGAATTCAGTGTTTTGCAAGCTGGGCTATGTTCCTTGCCAGCTAGCATGTGTTTGTGGTATTTAGATCTTTATAGGATAGACACAGGATACATAGACAATATAAAGGCCCCTGCCACATGGCAGGGGATAAGTCGCTCAAAGCGCGGCTTTTAAAAGCCGCACCAAAGTTGAGACGCCGCGGCGGGATCCCACGATCCCCTGGGCTGCGGCGCCTTTTCTCCCCGGCACGATCAGATGCTGGGGAGAAAACACAGTTCAGACGGGGAGCCTGCCGAACTGCGCATGTCAGAGCATGCGCAGTTCGGCTAGGAGCCGGGGATGAGCCGGCGCAAAGACGCGCCAGCGATCCGATGGCCCGGCTTGCGGCGCTTCAAGCAGGAGAACCACCCAGGTAGGTGGTTCTTTGTAGTGCGGGTTTTCGGGCGGAAAGGACAGATCGGGGACGGGCAGGCAACGCTTCCCAGATGTTGCCATGGGATCGCGCCCGTTTGCTCCACCCCCGATCCGTCCCGCTCCCGGCCCAAAACCCCTAGTGTGAACAGGACTAAAGGGTCTCAACAAGCCAAACTAGATCTGGTGCAGGAAATCCATAATCACATCTCCCAATGTTTTTTTATTTGTACATGATAGCAAATCGGGGCAGCATTGCTTGGAGAAGAGGCGCTAGCCGTTCTTCCCCTGAAATTTCCTTGCAGAAGAATCCCATCACCTCCCCCTAGGAATATTTATTTAGTACTATGATCAAAACTCGACCCTCTTGCAGCTGCTTTCAGAGACAAACAAGAAAGTCAGGAAACTCCATCACAGATCTCCTATATTACTTAAAAGGAAGACAACCATCAATGTAAGAGAAGCCCACTAAAAATGTTATACACAAAAAGTGCTTTTGTTACTGGATATACCTGTAAATTGTGAGCAAATTAAAGATGATCCCCCCCACCCCCATTTTTGTTGTTGTTGGAATACCTGGGAAAAAATAGTCTTGTGTTTGGGTAAATATAGTATGTGTAGTTTAGAAGAAGAGAAGAGATTGGATTTATACCCCGCCCTTCACTACCCAAAGGAGTCTCAGAGCAGCTTACAAACTCCTTTCCCTTCCCCTCCCCACAACAGACACCCTGTGAGGTAGGTGGGGCTGAGAGAGCTCTGGCAGAAACTGCTCTTTTTCAAGAACAGCTCTTATCAGAACTATGGCTTGCCCAAGATCATCCAGCATGTGCAAGTTTAGCTGTTCCCTGGCCTGGATGGCCCCAGCTAGCCCAATCTTGTCAAATGTGGGAAGCTAAGCAGGTTCAGCCCTGGTCAGTATTTGAATGGGAGACCTCCAAAGAACACCAGGGGCACTACCGGGAGGCAGGCAATAGCAAACTACCCGTGAATGTCTCTTGCCTGGAAAACCCTATGGGGTGGCCATAATTTGGCTGCAACTTGATGGGGGGGGGAGTTTAGCTGTGAGTAAGTGATACTATGTTATAATAGCCAACCTGGACTGCAGTAGGCATTTGTTGGAGCTGCAAAAGACTTATATAGCTCTTATCATTGCATATTTATTGTGGGTTTTTTACCTGATGGAGATCATGCTTGATGATACTGAAATCTGCTGTAAGAGATCCAGGTGGATTAACAGGATTATCCATATCCTTCTGTTGGCAAAGACTGCCCATATGGGCAACCAGGACAGCTTCTGGTCCAAAATAACTAGAACATTATAAGGCATAAAAAGAATAAATATTTAATGAACAAGAATGATGATAACATAATTGCTTAAGAATATTATGGGATCTCTTTCCGTTCAATGTAATTCAGTTGGTGTATCTACAGGTGTAGCCCATCCTAGAAGGCAGCTAGACTAGATAATTTTGGGGATGCCTTACCGCCTTCTCCTTCAATACTAAACGGACCCAGATATTTAATCCAATAACTGGGCCCCATCAAACAAGTAGAGTTTAAGTGGTCAAAATATTTGGGAAGACCCTGCTCAGGTAGGTATTCCATTTCTGATACTTAGTTTTAAAGACTGGAGTCTCTGAGCATGCAGCTAGAACACTCTTCAGCTCTGAATGTTAGAGTGTCCGTAGTTCATGCTTCTCTGCAATAGACATACACATGGATCTTCTTGCCTATCCTTGTACAATGGAACCCCCATCTGTTGGCTGTGTTTTCTGTCGTCACAGGCTGCCTTCTGCTAAAATTCATATATATAACTTTTCCCCAATAGTTTAAACTGAGTCAACAAGCAATATTGAAAAGCATACTGCCTCTGGGCATGGAGGTTCCATTCAGATGTTATTGCTAATAACTATTCATATATGAAATGTCTAATCCCCTTTCAAAGCCAGTAGCAATTAGCATATCTTGGCAATGAATTCCATAAGTCAGTTATGTGTTTGGTGAAGTACTTCCTTTTCTCTGTCCTAGTGCCAATTATTGTAATTGTGTGCCTTCCTTCCAAAAGTTCTAGTATTATAAAAAAAGGATGGAGTGAAATTTCTCTAGCCATTTTCTAGATGCAAATTTGTATACACCTTTATAATGCCTCCCCAGCCATCTTTTTTTCCTGTACTGTAAAGTTTAAAAAGGCTTTGCCTTTCCTCACAGAGTGTTCCAACCCTTGGATCAATTTTGTTGCTCTTCTCAGTACTTTTTCTATTGTAATGGTGCACAGTTTGAGATGGGGTGACTATAATAGCACATAGTATTCTAAATGTAGCTGTACCAAGAATGCATATAGATATATATTGTGACATTGACAGTTTTACTTTAAATGTTTCATAAAAATCCCTAACATGGAATTTCCCATTGTTGTGGCATACTGTTAATGTTTTCATTAGGTGCGTAGAAAATAACCCTTTTAGTTTTGCTTCATTTTCTTTTCTTTTCTTTTTTTAGAAGAAAAATAAGAGAAGCGATTGGATTTATACCCTGCCCTTCACTTGGAGTCTCAGAGCAGCTTACAAACTCCTTTCCCTTCCCCTCATCACGACAGACACCCTATGAGGTAGGTGGGGCTGAGGGAGCTCTGACAGAAACTGCTCTTTTTCAAGGACAGCTGTTATCAGAACTATGGCTTGCCCAAGGTCATCCAGCAGCTGCGAATGGAGGAGTGGGGAATCATACCCAATTCTCCCAGATTAGAGTCCGTGCACTTAACCACTACACCAAACTGGCTCTCACCAGTTGTTAAAAAAACAACCTTGATTTGATTTTGCTAAATTTATTATTATATCTATCTGTTCTAGTTAATAGATTCACTGTTTCCAGTGGTTTCAGTAGAAAACATATATAGGACGAGAAATTTCTTCACCATCCTTGGCGGGTGAAATTCTCTCAGGAATTATATCCCTCCTCCAAGGGCAGAGCTATTGCTTGGATAGAGAGGGAGTGAACCATGATTTCTATGCTGTGATACTTTTCGTGTTAGGACATCATGATGATGCTCCAAAGAAGGCACCTATCACGGGCCTGGATTCAGTGGGTACATTGCTAGATTCTTTCAGCCCCTGATACAATACCAATCAACTGGAAGCAGGCCAGCTTCCTTTGCTTCAATCCAAGCATCAAACTGATTGTTGAGGCAACAGAAGTCTCAAGGCTGGGGAGAGATAGGAGGAGTGAGTCCAACACCCTAGGGATGGCCCTGCACAGGTGGATCCTATCTACCAGCCACATAGAAGACAGCATCCCCATTTTATAAACAATTAAATTATTTCTGGCAAAGCAGGCAAAAGGAAGAATGGGCATATTCTTTTCTTGGAGAACTCTTCATGTATTTACATACAAATCCAAACATTCACATCTAATGTGGAGAGCTGAGGATCTCTTTTTGTGTGGTCATGGAGGCCATGGCTGAGGGAAGTAAACTCTGCTTCCTCCTGTGCCTCACTTTTGACCTCTGTTTGTTTTAGCATTTTTCTTATAGTTGAGGTAGGCTTGCCAAGTCCCCCGGGGGGGGGAACCCCCACCCCAGAGGCCCGTTCCCTGCTGCCGGCGGATCGGGCCCCAGGCGGAACTCCACCCCGACGTGCATGTCGCCCGGAAGTGACGCAGGCACGCCGGGCACGCTGGGGGCGGGGCCACGGTCATCCGAGGGAAAATTCTATGGTTTTCCCTCTGATGGTCGTGGCCCCGCCCCCAGCATGCCCGGCGTGCCCGTGTCACTTCCGGGCAACGTGGATGCGGAGTGTGCGTGCACTCCAGCCGCCAGCCGGGAGTCCCCCGCTGCAGCTGAATTCACACTTGGCAACCCTACGTTGAGGTCATTTTTTGTGCTTGTGTTCTTGACAGAATTTTTTTAAACCAGAGATGATATTCTTTTTTATTTTGTTCATTGGAGGCAGATTTCCATTTTTGAGCAGTCTCCTTGCTTTTTATAGCTTTCTTGACTATGCTCATAAACTATGCTAGTATTCCCTTAGACTTCAATGTAACTTTCCTAATTTTGGGTGAATGTTTATAGCTGAGCTTCTGTTCCTTTTCCAAGTGTTTTAAAA